AGGAAACTGAGGCTCAGAGAGGTCAGGGACCACCTACTCCCACCCCTCATTTTACAGCTGAATTCAAAGCCCAAGGCCCAGTTCAGGCAACACTTTTAGAACTGAATTGAAGGAGGAGCAGAGTTGAGGAGGAAGAAACGATGCTAGGTCTGAGGTGAGCAGAGAGGAGGGGCATGAAGGAAGAAAGGGTGAAAGAAGATGAGGAACCTTGCCCAACATTGGAAGAAAACCCAGTGTTTTCCCCATGTTTTCTCCCAGAATCTGCCCTCCTCACTTGGGTGAATGGGGGTTGGAATGGATGAAGGATTCAAAGGATGGAAGAGCACAGATGTCACCCAAGAAACATGGGAGGGAGGAGGAGGATGGGCTGGGCTTGTGCCTCTTCCACGTCCCACCTCAGTGATTTGGGCAGGTCACTAACCTTCTGAGGCCTCAGTTTCCTTATCTGTAGAATGGGAGGGGGCTAAATAGGATCTTTTATTCATTCTTCCCTCCTTAAGATTAAGTGACATTCAAATTCCCATAAAATGGTGGGTGGTGGTGGAGGACTCAGCATCGGGCAGCTCCAAGGTCCTCCTCCCTGAGCAAGCCGTGGTCTATTTTTGTCCCATGACGGCAGTTTTGTCTGAAGTTATCTCAGGAATCCCTGCGTGTTTGCAGTGACTCCCAAGCCTGCCTCTTCTTGTTTGCCTAGCTGGGGAAGGTGAGCAGGTGTGATATTTAGCTTGTAGGCTGGGCACTTTAAAGAAGGTGGTTTCCTTTTAGCCTCCTCTATGACATAGAGACATAAAGACATAGCCCTGCCTATGTCTTTCCACCGCTGATACCCCATCCTGGAGCTCCTTATGAGACTCAGGGATGTGAGTCTTGTAACCAGAACGACTGCACCAAAAGCACCTGGAAATTTCAACTGTCGCCCAAGATACTGGGATGAAGCTGTGATCTCCTGGATGTGGGGCACTCAAAATCAATCAACAAGCATTTATTAAGCACTTACTGTAGGCTAGGCACTGTATAACTCGTGTTGAGGACATCTTTGAGGATGGGATGAATAGGTATGGGAGGCCACAGCATGATATAGTGGAAAGAGCTCTGGGTTAAAATCCAGGCATGGCTACGTGACTGTGAGAAAGTCACTTTACCTCACTAGGATTTCTCCTTTGTAAAAGGAATGGGAGTGAGGGGTGGGGGTGGAGTAGATGCCCTCAGGAACCTCAGTTTCTGATGGGGGAGATGGCATGTACATAAACAGGTACATGCAAGGTACGTAGAGAGTACATGAGAAGTCAAGATGGAAGGGAGGACTCTTGGAATTCCAGGCAGGGCCTGGAGTGGTGAGCTTGTGCTGAGTCCATGAAGATTGAGAGAGGGTGACTCATCCCGGCCTTCTCATCTGAGTGACTCTTGCCCAGGCCCTCCCATGATTTCTTCACCAGGAGTCCACCCAGTGTGCTGGGTGGGGATGGCAGGAGGCCTCTAGATCTCTGAACATTGAATGGGGGCTGCCCATCACTTGAGTACATTGAGTATGCTGAAGCTCACCCTCTCCACTGTGCCCCTCTCTAGTGGCTTTTGGGTGATACAGAACTGTAATTCTTTGAAGGATGTCATGTTCCAAGATCCATGGGCATCACCAGAAGATGGATGATGTCAGAAAGGTGGGGGATGGCCCACTCTCCTTCTATTGAATTCCCATCTGTATAAGATATTTAGGAGAGTAGTTTACATTTCCATTGAGGACAGCCTGAATGAGGGGATAACTAGATGTGGGAAGTCAAAGCTGGTACAGTGGAAAGAGCCTTGGCTTTGGAATCAGAGGACATGAGTTCAAATCCCAGTCACCTCTGTGTGACTTTGGGGAGCCAATTGGTGACTCTGGGCTTCAGTTCTCTCCTCCGTAGAATGAGGAAACTAGATGACCTTTGAGATCCATTCCAGCTGGAGAGCTGGGATCCTGAGATGAAGGAACAGGGAGGGGTTTGGTACTGGACTCCGTCTTTCTTGTTACAAAATTGACCGAAGGGTGTAAAGAATCCAACATCTCACTGTGCTCACTGTCTTTTGGCTGTAAAGAATGGACTTGATTTGGTCCAGTCAAACTCCACCCTCTCCCCCCAAAAAGGCAGTGCTTGGCCAAGGTCTCCCACGCTTGTGTCAAAGTTGTCCAAAGCCCCTTGATGGATGTTAGCAACAGAGATATTATCATGACCCTCCCTGGTGAGGCTTAGGGCAGGGACATCTCTGCTGGCCAGAGAAGGAGACCCAGCACAGGATCCCAGGGGCAGAGGGGGTGGAGAGAGACACCCCCAGCAGGCTCCAGTTTGAGAATGACATGGAGCCATTGCATCAAGCTGGGCACCAGTCAGCGACCTCCATCTTCACTCAGTGTCTAATCCTAACATCACCATAGACAGACACTTAATATTTCTTTATTGAATTGTACCGAGCCCCCATTTTGCAGAGCAGGAAAGTGAGGCTGGGGAGCTCAAGTCACACTTTGCCTAAGACAACCTTGGAACAAGAGCCCAGGCCCCTGATGGCAAGCCTGGGGCTCTGGGTCACCCTGATATTTTTCTCCCTAGAGTCAAACTCGTTTTGTCTGAGCACTAGGTTACCTTAACCTTTAAGGTGGCAGGTGCTGTGTCCTGTCTGAGGGCACTACCAGGAATAACATTCTATCAGTCCAGACAGGCTCTGCTCCCCCCTCCTCTGCTGCCTAGCCAAATGCCTGATGGGGGACTGAAAGCTGCTGAGGGCTGAATCAAAGACAAGGTTGCTGTCCTTTCTATCCTAGTAAATGCCCCTGAAACCTGGGTAACATTTGCATCCCTGGCACCTAGCTCTGTGCCTACCACATGACATGTTTGTCAACCGACTGGTTTGTTGGCTTCAGAGTTTCAGAGAAGGGTGGTGTAATGTGGTGGAGAGAGCACTGGACTTAATACTGGGAAGTCCTAGGTTTGAATCCTGCCTAGAATGCTGGGTGACCCTGGCTAAGTTAGTTTACTTCTCTGAGGTTCAGCTTTCTCTTCTGTAAAATGGGGATATTAATAAATTCCCCATGGAACCTACCTCTCAGGGTTACTGTGAGGATCAAATGTGATAAAACCAAACTTTAAAATGTTACACGACAAACCAATCATTTTTAGCCTGGCGCAATCGGGCACAGAAGGATGCTGTGGAAGAAATGTAGGTGTAGAAAAGACGGGGGAAAAAGTGGAGCTATGCAGACAGCATTTGTGCTCACTGCTGTCTTTCTGATGTCAGCAGAAACTGAGGAAGGCTGCCAGCATCCATGGCCAACTTTTGGGAGGACTTGGACAAGAGTAGGTTGCAATTAGCATCATGGGAAGGACCACATGGATGTGATTAGAGATCTATTGGAGTAGTCATGGGATCAGAGCAGAAGACCTGGGCTGGAGTCTTGGTTCCATCCCCTACCTATGGACATAGAAGCTCAGAACCACAGCAGTTGGCAGAGCTGGGATTCAAACCCAGTCGCTTTGAGTCCAAAGCCATCTCTCTCTCTGTTGCACCACAGTGGGGTTTTAAGCCAAGGAGGCACATGAGGTAATCAGTTCAGAAATCAACCAACACTTATTAAGTGGCTATTCTGTGCCAGGCACTGGGGATGCCAAAGCAGAGGTAGGACCCTTCCTGTCCTCAAGGAGCTCATTTTCTGCTAGATTTCAGTCATATTCCTACCAGAATTTAGAGCAAATTTAGGGTTATTCTACAGACCAGGGACCTGCTCAATGGCCAGAGAGGCTAAGTGACTAGTACACAGTCACACAGAGCAAACAGAACAAGCTTCCTTTACTAACAGCCCTAAAGATAGCCACTTGCTTGAATTTTCTCTTGTCCAGCCTAAACACCCCTGTTTCCTTCACTCTGTCTCTGCCTCTCAGGCTGAGGGAGAATTCATGGGACCAGAATCTCAGTCCACATCCTCAACTTAGTCATTCAAGAAATAAGCACCTACTGTGTGCCCTTAAGAAACTGACAATCTAGCGAGGGAGATAAGACATCTTGGCAAAGCTTCTGGGGAAACATCTGGCTCTCTCCCTGTTCAACCAAGGGACATTGAAGGTTGGGGTCGGATAGGAGCGTAGCCCTCATCTCCCAGTCTGAGGAGGGTTTGATGGTCCTGCAGAGGGGGCTGGGGGAAGAGGATGGTTCCCCATGGGTCCTCAAGCTTCCTGGTGACATGAGTGTCTCTGGTCCACTTCCACAGTGTCTGTCTAGGTGGCCAGGCTGGCCAGGGGCTAGAAAGGGGAGAGCAGGGTTTTCTATTCCAGTAGGTAAGGAGCACAGATCAGGTAGTCAATTCAATTCATAGGCTCCTAGATTTAGAGCTGAAAGAGAGGCAAGCAATCAACAAATGCTTGTTGAAATTAGTCCAAGCTCTTCCTTTTCTAGATGAGGAACCTGAGAGGTGGCAAGTCTTAATTGGACAAGAGCCAAGAATCACATGTCAAAGGTAGAATCACTTCCCATCATAATGAGAACCTGGAGGAGGACCCTTTATCCTGAATTCTGCTTTGCCCTTGATCTTTCCTCAGTATCCAGGCCCTTTGTTATAAGAAACTACCTGGAGGCCCCTGGTCTCTCTTCAGGCTACAGAGCATCCTGGACCACAAGCGGCTGTGTCAGCCCCGTGACATGTTTTGGGATGGGAGCCTTTACTGTCAGGGGCAGATTTTTATTCTTTTTTTAAAGCATCATTACTTTCTTTTGTTTGGTTATCACATTTTTTTTTCCTGGAAAACAAACAAACAAACAAACAAACAACAAAACCCAAACTCTCTTGCTTCTCCCTCCTCTTTTCCCCAGAACAGAATCCTTCCTTGGAACAAAGCAAAAACAACTGTTAATCCTGTTAAAACTGTTAAACAACCTACACAGTGATTGTGCCTGACTATGTATACAACATTCTGTCCCAGTAGTCCTCCACCTTTCTGCTGGGAAGAGGGAAGTGGATTTCATTATCTGTCCTACAAGATCATTGTTAATTTTTCAATGACTCAGATTTCTGTTTTCTTTCCTGTCCTTGGAGAGGTGGGGGACTGTGGGTGCAGAATGTTGGATATGGTGTCAACATTTCTTCTTTTAAAAAACTTTGTTATAATAGGCAGTGTGGAGGGATGAATAGAAAACTGGCCAGACAGGCATGAGGTAAAGTCTTGGCTCTGACATATACTGGTTGTGTGATCCTGGCCAAGTAATTTCTCTTTTCAGGGCTCTAGGCAGCTTCCTAATGCCACAAATTTTGGAGAAGATTCAAATCTGCGTTGATAGAGGGAGTTTCTTATACTAAATGAAATTTCCCTAGCTTATCTATTCCACTTGTTCATTAGTAGTTTGCAATTCTTTTGAGAACAGTGTGCTCATATAAGGAGGGGACAGTTAGAAAAGAGATACATACTTGTTCCTCAAGCAGCTGGGCAGGGGAAGTAATACCCAAAGTACTTTAACATTTTCATTACAATATAGTCATGGCAGTGCTTTAGCATATGGTACTGAGGGAAGGCTATATTTGATTCATCTTTGTATGCCCCTCAGTACCAGAACCAAATTGTACTAGAGAGGTCCTACACTAGGTGCTGAGGTGGTTAGAAGATGGTCAAGATTGTTCCTGTTTCCCCCCATGTGTGTGGATGCTCTTGGAGGGCAGCTCTCTTTTTGTTGTTGATTTTGCATCTTTAGCATCTGGCACCCAGTAGGTGCTTATTAAGAGCTTGTTGGATTGATTTGCATTGACTATGATACATGGTAGAGTAGGTTAAGCCGAGGAAAGGGTAAAGTCCTATTGGAGTTCCTGGTCCATTGTGTTGGGCATATAATGGTGGGCTTCCAGTGTAAGAGCTGGGCCTTGAAGGAGGTGTTTTCACAGGCAGATATGGGGGTGAATGGTTGGTGGTGTAGACATTTGGTGACCTGATGTCTCCAAGAACCAACCCTCTGACAAAGAAAGATGGTCAACTTTTCCTGGCCTTGTCTGTGGCAGGGCACTGATGGTTACCTCTTCTTTCTTGGAATCTCCTTCTCTTGGTTCTCTTGTTCCCATTTATATCCTAGATGGCCTCTTCCCTCTCCAGAGGTTCTGCCCTTTTTTCTCCCCAAAGGCTTTCCTTCTTCCAACATAACAAGCTAAGAATGCCCAAAGGTCTACCCTTGGGCCTTTACTCCTCTTTCTTGCTCTCAGAGAAACTGCCTGCTTGCATGATCTCAATATACACATACTGCCAGGTCCCAATTAGTGTGAACCATGAACCTCCTGAAGTGGTTGCAGGTATTTCAATTTGTGATATTCAAAGTTATAATTATGTAAAATATGGTCATTGGTTCTAGCCCAATGGAAACAGTGAGAATTCAAATAAGGTGACCACTTAAGGAGCTTTGTTATTGACACCAATGCAGATGACTCCCAGACTATGGCCAACTCTAGCCCTGACTGTCCTTCTGAGACCAAGTTCCAGGCCAGCCTCTAACCGCCTATACAACATCACCACACATGCAACCTATCTAAGGCTGAGGTTAACACCTCCCGCCCCTAACCAGTTCTTCCTGCTATAGCTGTGGAGGAGGCAATTATACAGCCTGGGCCAGGTGTGAAAATTCCATCTCCTCCCTTTGCAAATGGCAGCCCTGGCCTGCAGCTGTCTCCTGGAGACTTGAGCTTTCATACTAACAGATCTGATGACTTAAATAACCGTCTATCATGGATGGTAAAATTTTCTGGCATGTATGAATTTATATGCAACTTTATAAAATATACTTTAATTTCATTCATAAGATCCTACATCTAGAGTTGGGAGGGATCTCAGAGATCATCGAGCTCAATGGTGTCAAGCTCTAATAGAAACAGGGGTCATTAAACTGTGTATAAGGATCCCCATGGGCCAAACCACAATGTATTAATATTATCTATGTTTTGCTGTATTTTTATTTTATTAAATATTTCCCAATTATATTTTAATCTGGTTTGGCCCTCACTTGGGAGCTGTGTGTTTGACACCTTGGATGTAGTCCAACCTTCTCATTTTACAGATGAGGAAACTGAGGCCTATGAAGGTGAAATCACTTCCCCAAGGCCACAAAGAGAGTCCACATTAGAAGTGGGATTTGAACCCGAGTCTTCTGACTCTAGAGCAGTGCTCTTTCTGCTGTCTTAATACATACTTATTAAGCACCTACTATGCAACAGGAACTGAGGATACAAAAGAAAAAATAGTTCTTGTGCTCCCGGAGTTTCCGTTCTCCTGGGGCAGAGGGAGGGCAGGGGGGGACAGGATTCCCCACATAAACAGAAAACTAAGGACAAAATCAATGACCAAGTTTCTTACTCTAATCGTTCTTCCTCTTTCTTTCGAAGATCAAAGTCACGTTGAACCACTTCCCACACGTGCTTGGCCTCTTCGTCCGTCAGCTTGGAGAGATCCAGTTTTCTGCCCATTGTTGCTGGTGGGTCAGGACGACACCCTAAGAGTCACAGAGAAGGCAATCAGTCAAGAAGGAGCCAAGCCATCCACTATTCAACTCAATTCAATTGTCCTCAACGAGCACTTAAGTCATAGGACCCTAGATCTGGAAGGGACCCCAGACGCCCCCAAGCCCACACTCCTCATCTTACAGAGGCCCAGAGACTAGAAGGGACTTGTCCAAGGTCATATGGGCAAAAGTGGCAGGACAGAGATTTGAACCCTGTGATTTAGAGGTGGAAAGGGCCTCTGACTATAGAGTCCTGAGATGGTGATGTGAATTATCTAAGGACTCTGCAAACATGAGTTGATGGATTTATTTTTCATTTTTTTTTTTAATTCTCATGGGAGGTAGGAGTGGCAGGAGGAAACAGATTAATTAAAAATTGTTACTTAGAAAGAAGAGAGGAATGTTTGGCTGAAAAATTCCACATTCATGAGGATGAGCATCTCCAAACTTAGCTGGTCTGGTCCTTGGACAAGAGAACTACAGCCCATCACTGGGTCTGTGCTCAAACTGTACACACGCACACACATAAGAATATAATCATAGGTTCCTAGATTCAGAACTAGGAGTGAACTTTGAGACTCTCTCATCCAACTTACTATTATGTATCAGTCAGAAAGTATGAAGCCTTGCTCTGTGCCAGACTCTGTCCTTGGTGCTGAGGACACAGACACATCAAACAGCCCCTGCCCTCTGGGAGCTTATAGTCTAATGGGAGAGGGGGCAACATGTTGACAGAAAAATACCTATATATTTTAGATACTCATTAAGTAGGTGATTTTGGAGGGGAGGTGTGAGCAGCTGGGGGGGGGGCGGCAGCTCGGGTTGGGGGCAGTGCTGGAGCTGAGTCCTGAAGGAAGTCAATCATTCTCCTCGAACTACCATCCTCCACTACCAGCAGGCATTTCTAAAGCATTTTAAGATCCACAAATCACTTTACATGCATGATCTTGTCTGATCCTCACAACAGCCCCAGCAGTTAAATACTATGAGTATTTACCCTCATTTTACAGGATGAGAGAACTGAGTCCTGGGGGAGGAGTCACTTGCATAGGATTATGTAAGTAATAAGTTGTGGAGCTGGGATTTGAATCCAGCTCTCAGCCCAGAACTCTTCCCTTCTACCATGAATCCAAAAGCTGTTAGCGAAGAGTGGGTGATAAATCCAAAACCTCAATGCAAACTTGAAGATATGACAATATTTGAACAGTTTAAAAAAATCTTCCTTCAGGGCCCAGAAGGTCTTTCAAGTCCACTGAGGCAAGTTGAATGCCCAAGGGCTGTGTCTGAAATCGCAAAGAGGCATCACACAGGCCAGGTTCTTATGAAACTGGAATGTCTGCTGTGAGAAGGGTCATGAGCTATCCCTGCTGGGTCTGGGGTGATAAGGGCGAAAGATGGAGGTTGGAGTCCATTAGACATGGCTGCTTCTAATGGCCTCAGCTGCTGTCACAGGGTTTAAGGTCACACTCTTGGCAGGAGCCTGATTGAATAAGCAGTGAATTATTTCTAAAACCAATTGGCTAACAGAGGTCTAGCAGACGTTGGCTCTGGGGACTGAAGGCCTTCCTTAATGCATCCACAGCTGGCTGCCATTTTGTATCAAGACAATCTATAGTTACTGGTCTGTGAACATACTGTACCTGCCAGTAGAATGTAAACTTCATGAGGTCAGGGGGTGTTTATATCCCCAGTGCCTAGTACATCGTAAGAGCTTAATAAATGCTTAGGGCAGCTAGGTGGTGTAGTGAATACAGTGCTGGCCCTGGAGTCAGGAAGACTCATCTTCCTGAATTCAAATCCATCCTCAGACATTTACTAGCTGGGTGACCCTGGGCAAGTCACTTAATCCTGTTTGCCTCAGTTTCCTCATCTGTAAAATGAGCTGGAAAAGGAAATGGCAAACCACTCCAGCATCTCTGCCAAGAAAACTCCAAATGGGGTCACAGAGAGTTGGACACAATTGAAATGACCGAACAACAACAAATAGACGCTTGCTGATTGGTTGACAGGGTAAGTTACAAATCTTTCTAAAAGGAATTGATTAAGGTTTAGCCTGGAGAACCACGGGAGGGCATGAGAGCAATTTTGAACCATTTCAAAGTCTGTCAAGTAACAGAGGGATTATCCTCATTCTGCTTGGCCCCAGAGGGGAGGACCTAGCACAAGGGACTGAAGGAGTGAAGAGGTAGGTTGAGTCTTTATGGAAGGAAAAGCTTTCTCCTGACAAGAACTGATCCAAAGTGGAACTGGGCTGCCTTGGGAGGTAGTAGGGAGGGGGAGGGGAGCTCCCCTTCCTTGGAGGTCTAGAGGCAGAGACTGGACTAGGATCCCTGATCAGAGAAGGGGATTCCTATTCAGGGCCAGGTTGGGCCAGTTGGCTCCTGAGGTCTTCCCCCAGGTTTTCACAGTCCTTAGATAAGCTTACTGGGAAAGTCTTCCCCAGGCGAATCCAGCCCGGACAATAGGGGAGAGCATTGAAGGACCTTCAGGGTCCTTTCCCAGGACCTTTGAGCAGGTGGTCCACTATGCTTGCTTTGCTAGCCTGACACTGAGAATCCTCAGAAATGGGAAAATGACTCCCCCTTCTTGGAGAGCTCGTTTTCCATTCTGGATTCCAAGGTTTGGTTTTTTTTTTTTTCTCGGCCCAACCCCCTGACCAAAAATATTCACTGTGAAAATGTTAATCAAACAATTTCTTTCCCGGATCCTGGGCTTCTAGATTCAGAGCTGGAAGAGTCCTCAGACATCATCTAGTCCAACCCCCTAGGTTTACAAATTTACAGATGGGGAAACTGAGGCTTAGAAGAAGGAAAGGATTTGCCCAAGGTCACACAAGTAATAAATGGCAAAGTGAGGATTCCAACTCATACCCACTGGTTCCCAGTGCAGTCCATTCTTCATTCTAGCATAACTCTTCCCTCAGATCGTTTCACCAGGAAGATGGGCTAAACTAGTTTTTACCAACTGGAAACTTCCCATCACGCTCTTCATGGCCAGCATGATAAGTCACCTTCGGCTGCCCAGAGCCCGGTTTCCTTTATAAACCTCTTGGAGCCTCCAGGTCACGGCAGACTTCTTCCAAGTTCACAGGCTAACCAGTCTGACTGCCCTAAACACCCAAGGCCAACTTCACAAACAACACTGTTTTGTGAGCTGTGTTTGGGTGGGGAGGAGGGTTGGTATGCTCCAGGCTTCCAACTTCTCATGTAAGGTTCAATTGGGTTCTTGGATGGAAAAAAGTCTTTCCAGATGCCCCCTAGAGCAAAATGAATGACTGTTTTTCAATGGAACAAAATGCCCTCTTCCTCATAAAAAACAGGGGTGGTTTTCTTTAATTTTTATTTTCCCCATCTCACCCTCTCTTCTGAAATATTTAAGCTCACAGTGAGGGCATTCATTAACATCAAAGCAACACAGTATATCCTAATTTTGGGAAGAAAGAAACAAACAAACCCAACCATGACCATCAGCTGACTTAGCTGTTCTCTCTTTTATCATACCTTGGAAAGGCCAAACCCCAAACCTCATATGGAAAAAAAATCTGGTTCCTAAGAATAGGTCAGTCAATCAAAGTCAGTTACACTAACCCCTCTCTTATTCAGGGCTCCCCAACAATCAATCAACAAGTATTTATTTATTGAGTTCCTCCAAAGTTCCACGTGCTGTGCTAAACCAATGCAAGACAAGAAGACAAAATGCCAGTCAAGTGTCCAGAACACAGCTGAGATACAAAGAGTAAGCCAGAATAGACTTCTGAGCCTAAACCGACATCAGAGAATTTGTGTGGGAAAGCTCATGCTCCATAGACTCTGGAGAACCCCTGAGCTTCTCTCTCAGATCCTACTTACTCTTACTCTAGACATAATAACAAGCCTGTTTGTCAATCCTGCCACAGCCAGAAAGGAGACTCCACCTGGAAATCCACTTTCTAGTAGGGTCCCACATATCCCTTGTGGCTTCCTTGCAAATTTGAGAAACTGCTGAGCTGTTGGAGACAGTGAAGGAAGAGGCAGAAACCACATCAAAAAGTATACCCAAGAACTCAGAGAACCAAGTACTTGACATGCCTTCCGGCAAAGGACTTAAAGGACAAACCGCTTGGCCTGGAGTCAGGAAGTCCTGGGTTCAAATTCTGCCTCAGACACTTACTGTGTGACTCTGGATAAGTTACCCAACCTGTCTGGGTCTCAGAATGAAGATGGAAGGGTTGGCTGCCCCAGTCCCGGAGATGCCCTAGGTCTCACATTGCTTGGATCCCCTCTTTTTTTGCATCCTCACTATCACCCTCCATCAGTTCCTTCTCTGACCCCAAGCAATTCAGGTGTCTCTAATCTTAGGAAAGAAAGAAACTTTCCCTTTCCCCCTTTCCTTTCTCATTGTCTTCACTTTCACTGTCAGACTTCTCGAAGAGATTCATCTACACTTGCCTCTCACTCTTCACTCCTTCCTCTGCCCTTTGCCATCTGGCTTCTGATCCCACCCCATTCTGAAGCTGCTCTTTCATAGGTTGCCTGGGGTGAGGCCTGAGGAGGGGGAGGAAGGCAAGGGTGGGGTTGATAGCTCTCTGAGGTCTGCAGGGAGTGGATCGGGGTGGGGAGCCTAAATCCAAAAGGCAGAGATGAGTAGCAGTGATGTTAGGAGATTGGGAAGTGGACAGCAGGAAGGGGGAGTGAGCTGGCCGACCATTTGTAGGGCTCTGACAGGAGTCTGCTGCATCCAGCTCCAATCAGCTCTTAAGAGCCAATTGTTAAATTTTCAGAGTGCATATTATACCTATGAAATTGGCAAATGCTACAAATCAGGGCTTGATTTATAATTTTTTGTTCATCTAGACTTAAGAAAGTGATGGAGAAAATATTAATAGTGCAGATTAAACTTAAAAGTGTCATGTAGTACTTCTCAGAGTGGGGAGGGGAAAGTTGGTTGTTAAACATTTATCAGCACACCCCAAAGCCCCAGTCCAAACTCCCCTGGCCTGGCATTCAATGCCC